TCTCTCTCTCTCTCTCTCTCTCTCTCTCTCTCTCTCTCTCTCTCTCTGCTGCCCTGCACAGTCTCTAACCTCTTTGGTTCTGGAGCTCAATGGTTGTACAAGATGTTCTCTCTTTGTCCCTTTAATCTGCTTAACTCACTCACTCAGTTCCAACAGAGAGCTTTGTAAAACTAACATGTGGATTTCACTGAAAGACAAATTCCTTCATTATAGGGTGTCCTCCTGGCAAAGAGGGCGAAACTTTGTACGGTGTAACCTACTTGTTCTTCCATCCATTCACTGTCCAGCAAACCTACGGCTGTAAGTGGCAGATTTTATATTCATGTAATGAATTATAAATGTTGCTTAGATGGTAAATCGATTACAACACGCCACATTGTGACATTACTCAAAGCTGATTGTGATCAGTATTGGATAATAATTTACTTAAATGAGCCATCTTTATCAGGGTGTGTGTGTATGTGTGTGTGGGTGTGACACTATGTAGGTGGGTGCCCTGATGGCCTGACGTGTGCCGGGAGCTTATTGTGCCCCTGTGTCAGTCCCGCGTCGTGTTGCTTTTGTCCTCCAAACTGATGGGGCCGAAAAACAGGAAGCTGGCCTTCCTGTGCACTGAAGGCAGCGGGGCAGGAGGCCGTCAGTTCAACGCGGTGGTTGTCGCCGTCCGCAAAGGCGCCGGCGCCCCCTGATCGACAGCAAAGGCAAACATCTCCCGATGTGTGTTATTACTGGAACAAACCTGCACGCGGTTGACACTCTGCGCCTTCTGATGGAAACTGTTTCCTTAAGCATGACAGGCGGTGTGAAACAGCAACACTGATCAGACATTATTCTCTCTATGAGCTGCTTAACAAATGACTGAGATCATGTTTTGGTTGCAGGCCTGGTGTATTGCTACATTGTATTGACTAATCATCCACTCAGTGTTTTTCTATTGGAGGTAACATGTCTTTTGTTTGTCTCGCACAGTCCATGTGTCCACTATCAGTAGCACTGATCAGCACTATACTGCATTCTTCACAAACCCTCTCAATCCTTGCCCTTTGTCCAACCACATGGCCGGGGAAAAGTACATGCACGTGCACACACACACACACACAAACACAAACACATGTATTGCTTCCGCTTCGCTGATATCTGTACCCATTCCCGTCTAGTTTGTTGCTAGTCAATACACTCATATTCCCTCTTTTTCTCTGACTCTCTCTCTCACTCGAGCGCTGACGCGCTCTCCCTCACACACACACACACACACACGCACACACACACCATTCGCAAAAAGAGCAGAGTAAATGGTCTGTGTCCTGCAGCCTTGCATAGCCAATTTCATGATCACATGGGCAGTGCAGGGCTGATATTCTGTGTTCAGGGTGACTTTGTCATGGTACACTGGGGGGTTGGGGATACACAATTAGTTTATATTTAACTAAGCAGGCAGAAAACCCAGAAGAAACCACAGCAATGCCGGCCTCGGGGATCATATCTTCCGAAACACAGATAGGGTTTGACGTGACCCAGAAAGTGAAAATAATATAATCAGTGGTAGTTGGGAGAGGTCACTGGTGAATACTTGACATTTCCAGGCATTACAGTACACTCAGTGGAATGCTGGCACTGTGTGTGGCTCGAGGAGCAGGACTGTGAAGCATCTCTGGAATGAAGGTGAGGTGTGGACACGGCAATTGTACAAATCAGCTGATTGTTCTTGACGCTAATCTGGATGTCTGTGTGCGCCGTCGAGCCAAACTGGTGTGACTGGTGTTGCGGAATGAGGAAATAGACTCTAAATGGGAAGTGGTGTCACATAATAGCCAGGATTTAATAACTTTTAGGATGATTCAAATGCAATTATAACTTGACCTCTTTTCACTGGTTGAGTCTCCTTTTGGGCTTTCCAAATTTGACTGAGAGTGTGTGTGTGTGTGTGTGTATGGGGTGAGAGAGAGAGAGAGGGAAGGGGGAGGCTGTGTCCTTGTTGTCCCACAGAAATCATGGGAGGAGTTAACAGCAAAACTTCCTCAGTCAGTGACATGCCGTCTGGGCACAAACACATAGGCTCACACACTCTCACTGACTTACACGCTTCCTTTTCCCCGTTTCTCCTCTCCTGTGCATTCGGGCTGACAGCGGAGAATGACAGCAGTCTCGGCAGCTGTCATGAGACGCAAACTCACCAGTCCAATGGTGAGACAGCACACACACACAGAGACATAGAGATACACACATTCTGCAACGCACATGAGGAATGAAATGAGAGGGGAGAGCTGGCAGCAGCACATAGGTGAGAGTTGGTTTTTTTCTACTTTGCATACGTCTTTCTGTGTGATAAACCGTCTCTTCCGTTTAGCAGGTTCATTAACACTGCTGCACTTTGCACTTGTACCAAGTTTCTGTCAGTCAGGTATAGGCTGGACAATATAGCTGTCATCCAGTGATTGAAATTCCTTCTTCTGTTTACTAGGTGCTTGATAATGAATGTTTCCAAACTCTTCTGATGGACTGATACATGAGCATCCAATTCGTACTATGTCTTCATTCCATTAATTATACTATGATTCTACTTCCCTAATGTTTGTTTCAGTGTTGTTCAAGTGCCGCTATGCAAAAGTGTGGGAATCTCCCTGCAGGGAGATCTGTCCTAGACACACAGGCATGTGAGTGAGCGAACAGGGGGTTAGTCTAAACTTAGAGTCCATAACCCCTGTCTCATATTACTCGCCGCTAACTCCTGTACCACATTTTCCGAATCTACAAATGCCAATAGTACACATACACAGTCACTAACACCTCAAACATCCCCACTTCTTTTTGGTCGTGTGTCTGAACACAGCTAGACGCTGCTGACACCATGTGTTTTTTATTAGGTTGAACGCTATTGTCACGGACTGCTGAGTGTCACTATTGCAGTCCAGGGTTTTGATGTGTTTTCAGACTGCGTGGAGACTATAAGGTCATTTATGGTATGCGGTAATTGGACTCGGCAGCCCCTGTCATTGCAGACAGTGAATACTGTAGCTTTAATATACGTGTACTGCTCGCATGACACTTTAGTAACGCTGGCCACAGTGTGCAGTCATAGAGTCACACCGGGGGAAGGCTTTTGGCCTTCCAGCTGACAGGAAACAAT